GCTGGGGCATCTGCCTGCTCAATGCTAGTCCTGTGATCAAGTGGCTCCTGGGAGGCAGCTGTGGGGAGGGCCAAGGGGACAGCTGGGCCCAGGGACAACACGGGCTTGATGGTGATGTCCTGATGGCGTTTGACGTTCCATCGGGAGCCCACCTCTGGAATGACTAAGGCAGGCATCTTTTTTGGGGGGGTCCTGCTCCGGACACAATAGTCATGATCCCCGGAGCCCACGTGGACTGGACTATGGCCAGGGGCCTCTTCTTGGAGGCGGGCTGTAGATGGATGTTTGGCCTCTGTGACTCCTTCAGGCTTCAGGGTTCCCTCCTGGGTGTTGGACTTAGGAGATTTGGCTTTGGCCAGCAGAGAAACAGCAGCCAGGGGCTTCCATAACTGGTGGGGAGGGGTGGCTGGAGGGGTGAGCCCTGCCACGTTGGCCAGTTCTGGGGCCTGTAACCGGTCCAGGGGCTTCTTTTCCTGGGAAGGGTCACCGCTGCTTCTGATTTCTCAAATTGCTCCAGCAGACTGGACAGGCAGGTCCGACGCCTCAATGCCAATCTCACTGATGAAAGCCTGCACCACGTCCTCGGGACCCTGGGTGCGTTGGACAGGCAGGAAGGATAGCTTCCTTAGACAGGCTGGGTGAAGAGCAGGCAGCTTGGTGCCAACACTCTGCCTTGGTTTGGGCACAGCCTTGGCAGCAAGAGAGGGGAGCTTCTCCTGTTGCCTGGTCTCCTGGGTCTCAGGCTTTGGCCTCCCCGACACGAGCTCAACAGCCGCCCCCTCAGCAGCTAGGCAGGGTGGGGCCTGGCTCTGGGGACTTTGCACTGGGGAAGCCACCTTGTGTTTCAGTGGGGGAGACACAGGCACTGGCTTGGTGGGCTCTATCGGTGCGGCGCCCCTGCCAGTGGGCCCAAGGCTGACAGACGGAGCCACAGGCACCGGAAGTACATTTTCAGAAGGGTCAGCTGGGATGTCACTGGGAGCTACTTGGGGTGGGGGAGCAACTCTCCCAACAGAGGCTGGAGGTAAAGGAGGCGGAGGCACCGAAGGCCAGAATGGAGGCGGCTGCGGGCTTGGGCCCCATCCCACAGGTCCATAAGAACAGGTGGAACTATAGGGTGGGACTGGGGCTGGAGGGGGTACCCAAGGCACATTGCAAGTGGGGGGCACAGCATAGGTGCCAGGAGTACCAGACACTACAGGCCCCGGTGGTGGTGGGGGGGCAGGCAGGGATATCTAGAAGGGGGCACAGGTGGATAACAAGGCCAAGGCAGCACAGAAGCATAATGGCTGTAAGGGTCAGGTGGCACTGGCCCCCTACACATCGGAAGACTAGGAGTCTGCAAAGGTGGTGGAGGCAGGCCAGGGAGCCCCTGCCCACTTGGGGGAAGGGGTAACATGGGAGGCATGCCTAGCCCCGCTGGGGGAAAAGGCAGAGTGGGCATTATGGGAGGCATTGGGCCAACAGGAGGTGGTGGTCTTGGAGGCAGTAGCATCTCTTGGGATGGCACCTGCTCCATGGGAGTTGAGGCCACAGGTTTGCTTGACGATGGCTCAGGACTGGAAGCAGCAGGGGTGGGACCCACAGGCACAGCACCCGCCTCGGGAGGAGGCTCAAGTAGAGTTTCAGTGGTTCTCTGCAGAGCTGTCTTCTTGGCTGGAGCTGGTGGGATGACAAGACAAGGGATGTCTGCCAGCCCTGTGGGGGTCTCTGGGAGGCTGGGCCATTTCCCAGCTGGTGGCTGGGCACTCTTCTCTTCTGTCTCTGCTTGGCGTTGCTGCCTTCGTCGCCAATACTCGGACAGGCTGAGGGGCCGAGGTCTGGCTTCCTGGGTTGTGGCATTAGGACCACTTTCTACTTTCAGGGGTCCCACTGCTTCCTTGACGTCAGAGGTGGCTTTTGGGTCATCTGAGGACTCCGACTCCACGCTCCCCGGGGTTGCTGATGCTGCACGGCGCCTGAGATCAGTTGGCCTGGACTTCACACACACAGGTTTGACAGGAGCAAGGTCATCGGGAGCAGGGTCAACCGATGCCAGATCATCTGCATTGGAAACAACCACTGCAGGGTCCGTGGTGGCTGCGTCAGCCAAGACTGACTCATGCGCCGAGAGACGGTCGGTCGACCAGCTCGGAGCTGGCTGAGGTTTGGTCAACTAGTGCAGCTACAACGGGTTCAACGACAGTAGGAACCGATTCAACAGAGTCAACTGCTATAGGGTTGGCTTGAGCAGATCCAATCACGGAGAGAGGGGCAAGATCAGGGTCGGCTTGGGGCGCGTCCACCACTTTGGGGTGGAGATCCAAAGGTCCACCTTTAGTAGGACTAGCCTGTCCAG